CAAGAAAAAAAGTCGTCAAGCTAACTACAAGCAAGACTAAATAGGACCCCAACATGGTGGTACTGCAAACCAAACCAACAGATACCAAACGCGAACCCTCAAATAAAACATATCAAATTAAACAGGGCCCAAAATGGCGGTATCGAAGCCACACCCATCTCACCAAAAGCGTTACCCTCGAACTCGGTTGCTTTCTGCTCCCCTGCGAAAAGTTTAACTTTTCGTGATTTAATGGAAAACCCATTGGTTGGCAAAAGTTAAAGTCCTAACATCCAAGCAACATCCAAAGGATTGACCTTTCGGCAACTGACACACCAACACCCCGACACTCAAAGATTTGGCTGTGGGATGTCAAAACCAATGAAAAACCCCATGTTGGGGTGGGTGAATTCACCACCCAATTTTAGAACCTGCTTTAGTGGTTGGATTGGTTGATGTTCACGGCCATTTCCTTCCGGCTCTCGCGCTCCACTGGGCCATGGACAGTGCCAGAGCCTGACGCCACCGGGCCGAAGAGAAGCCGCAGAGCGCGGAGTTGCAACTCACCACGTCCTGGCGGAAACGCTTGCCCTTTACTTGGTCGACGTTGGAAGGGGAGCAAAAATTTAAATTTTAGCAGTTAAGTGGATTTGGATTTCCCAAAACCACAACAAGCAAAAATGTAAAATGTTTCCCAACATTCTCAACAACAACCATGTTTAAGGGAATCCTTTATCATTCCCAACCCCGGCAATGTCACTTGGGATTATGAGTGGTGCAAATCAGTAATGGCGCATGGCCTTTCATCTTTGGCAGGAATCAGTTTGATGCCACATGCATTTTGCCCACGCTTCTCCTCAGAAACCTCAAACTTTGCCTGCGCTTTGGGCCACTATTTGAAGGCTTATGCCACTGGCACACGCGATTTGCCCTATATATACCGCTAGCAGAAAATGTACATAACCTCCACAACTTGCTTGAACACGCACTCCCACACCCCGTCAGCTGTTGGCACAGTTGCGAGAATTGCACCGAGCAAGAGGGTGGCATCCGCAAAATGACACTCTCAAAGGCATCAAAGGCTCGGACGCGCCTTGGACGCTTTCTTGTTTGGAGTGGCTATCAGAAGTTTCACCTTGAAATGAGGGCCAAAGCTTCATTTTCCGCGCAACCATTGGATTTCCGCTTTCGTGCTTTGGTTTAATTAAGGGTCTGCTATGTCAGCTGGACCAGCCAATCAGAGATGGGCCGGTGACCTCTTCTGCGTCTTTTGGGCTTCTCACGTTCACGCAAAGGTTGGCACCCAGCAAATGCCGACTCGCGTGGAGATGCTGCTCTGTCCACCTCTACCCCAGCCACACCTTCAAATAGATGTTCAGCCTAGATGAAGAGAAACTTAGCAAGCCCTGCGGATGCCCTGCTGTGACTTGTGGTGGGAACATTCAAGTCCAACCCTTGGTGTACGGATGTCAGGAACTGGTGGTGGCAGGATGACCGCCAATTTGGCGGTTTTCACTGGAAACTCAGGGAAAATGTGTGGAATTCACCTTTTGAACCCATGTGGGATCATTGCATTGGCAGAATTCCATCGCTGTAGACCAAGTTTCTGAATTTCTGAAACCCACCACGCAAAAGGAGTAACTGCCACCCCACTTGCTGTTCCAAGTGAGCCGTGGGAGGCCCTCGGGGAGACACCTCCACTTAGCCTCAGCTTCGCGCCTTCTGCAAGTTGTCGGCCTCCAACTGCGCCAACCTTGGCTGATCTGAAGTGAGACAACTGCCCGGATGGCGTCTTAGCCTTAGCGCAAATGGGTCTGGGTGGTCTGGGAAGCTTCGGCGCCAGAACATGTCGGGCTGAATTTCTGCAGCACCCCCCCCCAAAGTCCTTTTCGACCTCCAAAAGTGGCAGCAAGTGAACAATTCTTTTGCGAAACAGTTGCCGCTACTACGAGAACATTCATGGAGCAAATCTGGGCTGCCGTAACATTGTGGATTGCTTTGGGCGTCTGTGTTGGGAGCTCCATCCTCCGCGGGATCCAGCAGGCGTTGATACTCCATACTGATTACAAGCGCTGACGCTGTCACTCCGCAATATAGATTGCTTTGCAAAGCAAGTGGTGCTACGCATCAACACTGAGATCTGACTTAATCTAAGGAACCCCAGGTAGATCCACTGCAAACTCCATCAAGTCGTAACTTACCTCTTGATACCCGCAAAATTCCCTCGACTGAAAGAACGCCAAGCACGAAACCATGGAATACTTCAGAGACCATTGACGGTTGAACAGCAGTATGGTCAATCCATCCCAAGGTCCTTCATGGCGTTACAAGGGATAACAACCAGATAGCATACCGAATGAGTACAAATAGAGATTTTAATCAGGAAGTAGGCGGGCCATGATCGGGTATGTACCGACGACAAAAGGAGCTTTACCCTCAGCCCCGTAGGTGACCTTTTGAAAAAAACAGATGGCCCTGGTAAATGGAATGAAACCTATCTAAACCAGTGGACTCCATCCATTTCGAACCTGGGCTTTCAGATCCCCCGCTAAAATTGCTTACCTTTCAGTGGGTTGCATGGAAGCTGCCACTGAACACCAAAAAGCTAAAAGGCTAAGGAACCGGATGGCTGGGAGCCACCAAGTAACCCAAATGACCTGAAAAGGACACCTGCGCCCAAACTTCTCATCTCAGGCCGCCGCAAGGAAAGGCTCTGTGCCCATTGACTCCGGCGTCCGCTGGCCGCAATCTCCTCACGGATGCCGGGTGGAAAACATAGACCAAGGTAACAAACCCGTAAACAAAAATGCACTCCTTTTGTATTGGCACCGGAGCTCCTCCTAGCGTTTCTTCCCCTTTTTTGTAAGGTGAATACTTTTTGCGCAGTGACAAAGGGTCATTCTCTGTTTGACATCTGAAGGCGTGAGCTTAGCAGCCAAATACCTGTTGGGGTGTCCACATTTGGCCTTGCCCGCCTGAAGCACGTGTGAACACCGCAAAGAAACACTCCCGCCACGTGGCAACACTAGTACGTATACGGCCGCCACATGGCTCCCTTCCAACATCAAGAAAGTATCAATTCCAAATGGGGAACTCCGTTCTCGCATGCGCGAGTGCCCGGATATGAGTTTAGTTGGACACCTGCTCCAAAAGAAGGGGCAGCACTGGCGCTCCAGCGTTGAGATGGCTTGGTTGGCAAAGTTTTCCCTAGTGCAAGGGAAAGGAGGATGGGGGGTCCCAGACCCAATTTCATTTCTAGTCTGCATAAAAAGGGAACGTGGAGCCGCAAACGAAATTCCAGGGGTCACCCCCCTCCCCCAATTCCGCTTTTCTGGGGAGAGGGGGTGGGGACTCCCGTCCTTGTTGGCTGCCACCAGTTCCGGGTTCCAGCGAGGACGTTGGGCGCTTTCGAGCGCGCACATGCACAGACCATGGCCGACAATCGGATCATCTGGTGCCAAGCGAATGGTCTTGGTGCTGGGTTGCGCCAAGCCCCCTGAGCAAAATTACTCTTTGTACGATAAATGAACTGCATTGTTTGGGGCGTAGTGAGCTTGTATGAGGTTTCTTGAGGGTGAGTGAGGTTTGACTGAGGGTGTCATTTCTTTGGAAACCCCTCCCTCCAGTTTGCTGGTTTCCTGTTGGTTTCCCTTTACTTCCCTTTCGTTTCCTTTTGGTTTTCTTTTGGTTTCATTTTGGTTTTCGTTTGACTTTTAGTTTCCCGTAAGGCCACCCCTCAAAACGGGTATCCTCAAAAGACAGTCCCGTTTGTAAAAGGCCTAAGGTCACACCCAAGATGGGTGATGAGCCGGCTTTCGAAGCACATCTGTACCCCAAGCGAAATGCAAAAGCAAACGTCTTCTAGGTCCTCCGGTAGAGAGGCTAGAATAAGGATACTTTTGTTTTTCCTGTAGTCTATTCAAGTAGGGGAACCCTCCCCAAAAAAAGCTTGTGGGACCTAGCCTTACTGTAGTTGCTTCGCCGTACTTCGCACCTGCGCTGCTCCCTGGTTTCAGCGCCAATGCTGGCCGCGATGACTGCAATGCTGCAAATCCCCCTGCAGAATCTCAGGTATGCGTCCAGCCAGCCGCAATAAGACACTACATGCTCCTCGAACTACTAAAGGCGAAGCATATACTCAAGTTTTATTCGATAAGTTTTGGAGAGGGTTAATGAAGGAAATCCTATATCGATGTTCAAAACATTCAGAATTGGATTTTCTCGATGATGTACATCATCCAAACAGCTCCTATGCTCACTTCTTGAGGGTATGGGAAAAAGCAGCCAAACTTTTGTTTACCACCATGGTCCAAGCAAAAAAAAACACCCACTCAAGTCCAGGAACCCAGACAGTGAGGTTCAGTTTCTGTGGGTCCAAGACGGAAAATCCGCTTCAAGCAAACACGTTGAAGTCCAAAGAACCGGAGCTCGCAGCACCTCATGTTCAGCGTCTTTCGGGGGGAAATAGATGGCCCTGGCACATGAACCCCATCTAAGCCGGTGATATCTACTAACCTGGACCCCCCCCTTAAAAAATGCTTGTTGTAGTTCTAAGATTGTGGAAGGGAGTGCATTTCTGAGCAAACTAGTTGATCAAAAGGACACACATGGTCATGTTCAGACAGCAAAGCGGCAAGCAACCAACTCGCAGACCTGGTTATGGAAGACAGTTGTCTTGAAAACCACCCTTCTGGAAACAGCTGCCACCAACCACCCAACAGGAATCCGTTTTCTAGGACCTTCGCAGGGCTGGGTCACGGGGTCGTGGGCATGGCTCAAGCCCTCTTTAAAGGCCGCTACTTACGCTGACTTGAGCTCGGCAAATGGGCGGGGGTCAAAAATGGGTGCCCAGAATGAGTTGCCCCGGCAAATGGAAACCATGGACGATTCAACCTGCGGCCCATATCCAGGTGGTTCAGTTTTGACGCATACCCACATCATATGAGGCGTTGGGAGAACAGAAGACAAACGCAAGTTATGTCGCCAAGCGAGCTCTGCGCCAAGCAAACGCAGATTTCGGCCTGCATCCAAGCGCCTCCGTTTGCACAGGCAGTAATGAGGGTGTTGATCGTTACCACCTGGCTGGGTGGGGGCATGCTCCTGGGGCCCCAGACACTCATGAGCAAAGAGGGCGGCACTGGGTGGGTGTCTGGGTGCACCAATTGGAAATCATGGAAGAAATCGTGCGACACCCAGGTGCATCGATTCTGGACAAAAAACAAAACTCACAGAAAACCCTCGGCCCCAACAGTCCAACACAACTGCAACAATGTCCAAGGGTGTATGCAGCTAGCATCATGTGTCAAGTTGTGCCCATCACAGGTCTTCAACTGGCAGTGTGCGTCAAGCCTTCAGTGCCCTAGAGTTCCACCTGAGCGGGCAACTAAAAAAAAGACCTTGGGCAACTGAAAGCTTCACGGGGCAGTCCAAGCTGCACCAAAAACGGAAGGCTGCTAAACAATGCAACATCGCATTTGAAGAAAAGCTGTCGCTGCCATGGGAAGACTCTGCGTGTGTGTGTGTGTGCTTTCTGGTTCATATGTAGTCTACCCTGAATACAATGCAAAGGTGCGGAGGAGATCTCATGTTTTTTTTCACACCTGAGCATGCCGAGCCCAACGCGCCCGCGTATGGACGCTTCAGCTTGCTTCGGTGGCCGAGGTGCCAAACAGGACTCGTTTCTCTTGGTCTCTCAGCGCCGGGCGCTTGGCGCACGCGTCCGCAGCCCGGAGCGGAAAACGTCCAATGCCTGATGCGAATCGGCATGCTGAAAGTAATCCGAAAAGGTTGTGGGTGCAAGGGGAGGTAAAAGGGGAGGCCTAGGGACGCTTAGGGAGCCTCAAGCGTTGAAGTTGGGTGGCCCTCTCCCTTGGCCCTAGCGACTCATGTGCAGGAAGGCCTCGAAATTGGGACCCTTCTGGATGGCGCCCACCAAGGAACGCAAAAAGGAACAGTTGCAAAGATTCTGTCCCGCGTTTTCTCGCAAATGCACCACTCCCCAACGGCCTGCTGCCATTGGGCGCCAAGCCCCGCCATCACGTTGTTGTAAAGTGCCTTGGATTTACTTGAAACACTCGTTTTGAAGACTTTGAAGCCAATAATTTCGCCACGCAACACCTGAAGCAACAACAAGGTCAAATCAATCACGCTGGGCCTGCCATAGTAAACGAACAATTGCAACTACTCCAGGGAGGGCAAGCTGATTTGATCTTCTTGATTAATGTCCGAGCCTAAAGCTAGGATTTTCATGTCCAATCATCATTTTAATGAAAGGCAAACATGCACCACCCAGCGTTGACTCAGCCCACGCAAGGCTAAGGCAAGGGCTATAGAGACATGATCGGGATGTAACGCCTGACGGGCGGGGCATAGGCTGGCCATACAATCTCATGCAAGGAAGCCGTCCTCCACGTCGGCAAGTAGTTGGCAAGCCCGCCTGCCACCAATATCCGGGCATGACAGGCACACATGTCCGCAAACAAGTTGCCACCGATAAGCAGATAAGCAGCATCCGAGCCCGGAAGGAGCATTCGTGCAACAGACAAGTACCCAGTCAGTTCTCCGCTTTAGCTGGGTCACATCCAAACTTTCCGTCATTTTGCCTGTCCTCTTTTGGTTTTATAAAGATCATGTCATGTGGCAAAATGGAGGTTCGCGCCCCACAACTGTGGTTGTCCTTTTGGAATCCCAGAAAAATCGCTTCAAAACGAAGCCAAGACATGTACCCTCCAAAGAGTCATCGATAGAAACAAGCAACCCAACACACGAACGGAGCGGACTCACAAAACTTACCCAAACAAAAAAACAAACAAACAAACAAACAAACAAATAAATAAACAAACAAACAAACAAACAAACAAACAAACAAAACAAAACAAACAAACAAACAAACAAATACAGAGAAACAAACAAATACAGAGAAACATAAACACAGAACCCGCAAACACACACACACGCACAAGAAACATAAACACAGAACCCGCAAACACACACACACACACATCTACACCCATCAGCCGCTTGGCGCCCGAGCTTCTCCCGCCTCCACTCCCGTGAGGTCACCATGGCACTGAGGACTTCCTGCAAGTGAAAGAAAGTGGGTACCCAGTAGGCTTGGTTTCGAGCTCCAAACAAACAAAGCTACTGAATCACAATTCTAAAGATCCAAACTCTTGGAGTGGTTCCTAATAGATCCTGAGGTTGTGTGGGAATGCGCCGAAACGAATCGATAACGGAGGCTGCGCCATTCATGGGTTGATTCGCCGGGCGTGTTCTGCAGAGGTCCTTAACCCACTTTGGGCAAGAACACACCCGATTCGCCCAGCAGTTTGGAGCGCCTGTGTCTTCGTGGCCACTTGCCCGCCGCAGCTGTGCTGCTGGTAGGCTCAAACAAGCGGGGCGGGAACGCGTTAGATGCGCTCGCTTTTCAACACTCAGCCCAACTTCGGCCCCAAGCAAATACAATGGGCAAAGCTGATCGTTTCACAATCTTGGCACAGGCAATAATAAAGATTGTCATCATGAAGAACCTTGTTAATGGTCTTACACCCGGCGGGGAAGTCTTTATCTGCACCGCCCGCTCTGGGCTCCCGGCATTCCACCTGACGTCGACGGACCGAGCTGTATCTCAGCTTTGCTTGGGCAATGGCAAGTGCTTAAAATCAGGGGTGAACATGGTTATATTTTGTAGCGCAAATTCAACATGAGTCTGGTGATCATTTTCCGATAGTTGCTTTGGTCATCATGCAAGCTTGTCGGCTCGCCGAACGCGCCACACAAAACCGTCAGAGCAACTGTCGGCGCGCGGCGTAATCGTGTTCATGGTGACTCTCATCACGCTCATCTCGCCGACGACCTGCACTTCCACCCAGCAGGTTTGGGCAAGTAGGAAACGCACATGTGCGACACAGCGGAAGATGTCCTACTGTGAATGGACGAAGTCCGTTTTTCGCCCCTTTGAAACCATGGTTGTCAAAACATTCCAGGGTTTCTGATTGGTGGTGCGAAATGGATCTCGTCTACCCACAGTAGAGGCTCATTCCACAAGTGAAGAAGTCAGTACGCTTCCGCTCGCAGCCTGGGGCCCCCGGCGGTGAGGGCTGCTGTCCACCTGAATCCAACTCAGGCAATGCACGGCCAAAGGACGCAGCCCAACAACCGTGGGGCAAAGAGCAACCCCCGCGACAAGTAATACACAAATGTTAATTACCTGGTTCTCGAAGAACCTACAAAAAAGTGGAACCCGCTTTTTTGGTAGGAACCACTTTTTGGATAATTTCAGTAGCAGGTAGAAGTGTCACCAAGGTCCAAGGTTGAAAAAATGGCGTGCAAGGCAAAACAAAAAGTCACCCAAGGTTATACAATAGCTCGTCCAAGGAAAGAAACAAAAAGACCTCCAATGTGAAAAGCAACATCGTACAAGGTGAACAAAATCATCCAAGGTAAAGACAAAACAACAAGTGGTCCACGGCGAAAAACAAAGTCGCCCAAGGTAACAACAAGGAAAACAACCAGGGATTCCCAAATCTAGGTCCTCCAGTCTTCTTTCTGTAGTCCATTTTAGCAGTGGAACCCTCTCAGCCAAAAAAAACGGTTAGAAGTTGGCACCTAGCCGGGGGACCTAGAAATGCAAAGTCGCAAATCAAAGATCCGGACCTTCACTTTCGAGATCGCCGTTATTTCTTCTTTCATTTCAACGGTTCGCGCCTGGAAGCTTTGGTGTAGGCCAAAAGCTCGGCGCCGAAGGACTGCACCTCGGTGGAACTGGGAGTGCCGCACCTTGGTTCCTGTTGAAACACCTTGCTTTTCCAAAATATTCGTCGAACGATCCAACCCAATAGCAGTCAAGACACAAAGCTGTCAATTAAAGCGGAGTCCGTACAAAACGTTGCAACCCACGCTCAAAACCTCAATCGAAGTGAAAACAATACAAGGAACCCAAGACTCGATGCCTATTTATGGTTGGGAATGCTTTTGTTGAACAGTTCATCTAGCCAGGTTGCTTGTGGGAAAAGTCTGTTACCCTACGAGGACATGAAACTTACCTCGTAGGGCACAAGTTACTGCTCACCTCATTTTCGTAGCTTGCTTCATTTGTAGAGGC